CAATAGAACAGAGAAGAAATATTGGAGATCCTACATATGAGAGGTTTCCCCCACCACATTGCAAGGGCCCCTTGCAATGTATTACACTCTTAAGTTCATCCTGAAGTCTGTTTCAGCAGTTAGTGACCACTATTCCTGCCATTCCTAAACTCATACTTCTAGCCAAATAAATGGAACATTTGCAAGTTGGCCAAACTCCTACAGTATAGCTATTTGCAAGGGTTCTTGTCAGTGTTCTCTCATCCCCAGAAAGTTCCTTGTGCTTTTGTTAAGCAGTAGCCTACACAAAATACACTTTCACAGGGATGCTTATTGAGGAGATAAAGCATCAGAAGAAAAGCAGTGCTTATTGTCATAAGCACATTGCAAGTCAAGGGTTTGGAAAGGAAGTTTCTTCTCCATTTACATGGACTGGATGCACAGAAAGAATGCAAACTATAAAGGTATTGATGAACATCAGAGAAACCAGTATCTCAAGCCAACTTTCCAGCTGATGAGAACCAGTGTGGCCCCACTGACTTCAACTAAGATAAGCCCTATGCTACTGAAGCACAGTTGCTTTCTGGGGAAGGGATTATGATTTCACTTGAAGTTATAAAAGGGAGCTGCCAGTGAAAGCCTTGGAAAAACAAATAGTTTGCTGCCCAGCTGGTATGGACTTGTACAGCTGCACTGGCTTCAGGCAGGCATCAAGGTGCTACACGATTTGGCCTATAAACTACAAGAGTGAGGAAAAAAGAATGGTTTCACCTGCCTATTGCTTCAAATAGCTGGTGTTAAGCAAGTTCTGCCCAATAGTGCTTATCAGCATGGTCACAGAGCTGCAGCACTTTAAGTAGTGTGTTTTCTGTACACAAGGGGATCAGAGCAGGCACAGTGAGCACAGGCAGAGCTGCCAATTACAAAGTTGTGCTCAGGCTTTTCTATCCATGCTGCATGTAACAGGAGACAGCCTTTTCATCAATGCTTTCCTTTCACTTTCCTACTAGCTTAACTCATTTCTCCAATACATAGAGGTTTGTCAGCTGCTACACAGAAGTCACAATCCAGCTGAGAACCTCACAGAAAGGAAATGCAGCAACAGTAGACCACTTTATTGTTCTTGGGAGGAAAAACATAAACCAGACCAAACCCACCCTTGGAGAATGTACAGCCCTCCGAGACAGCTCTTTAGGTAAAGTTATGTAAATTGAGCTGCAGTGAGCAGCTCAGCCTAACTACTTCAACTAATGCCTTTAAGTGGAGCCCATCTGTGGCTCTTCTCTGGGTCTCTGCTTCAACTTCCAGGAGAGGCTGACCTGCAGCATGTGGGCTGAGCACTAGCCAGCAAATAGCTCTAGTTGTGCCACACAGACTCCTGCTCTGGCGTGGAGGGATCTGCAACAGCCAAGCACAAAAAGCAAGATGCCTGAGGTCTGAACCAGCTCTGGACAACATGAGTTCCAAGGGTAGGCTTGCTTTCTACTCTTCCCCTCCTGCCCCCACCCCCGGTGCAGCGCTGATAAGAGAGGGGGCAGGGGGAGGGCCGCAGCTTTTCCAGCTCTGTTACTCTTCCACTCCGCTGCGCGCCCCTTCCCCTCGGCGAGAGGCAGCACGGCCACCAGGCTGCCCCGGGAGAGCCGGGGTCCTCAAGCAGAGGAGGACAGGCAGGGTGGAGAAGCGGAGCAGACTTGCAGCAAGGACAGCTCCGCACAGAGAAAGAGGGAGCTCCGGGTGCCGGGGAGCAGCGGCCGGGCCCAGGGGGTGGGGGCTGCTCCCGAGCCCTGACGTAAAAACTAAAAGGGGCTGCCCGCTCCGGCTTCTTAAGGAGAGCGGCGGCGGCAGCTGGGTCGGAGAGTCCTGCCCTGGCCGGAGCGCCGAGGTAAGCGCCGAGAGCCGCGGGCGGAGCGGGACGGGAGCGGAGCGGGGGGCAGGAGCGGCGGAGGAGCCGGGAGCTGCCCGGAGCCTCGGGAGCCGCGCGGGACTGCCCGGGGATGCTGCTCCGGAGCCGGCACCGGCTGCCCCAGCCGCACGGCCGACGGACTATCCGTGAGAGCTCCAAGTTACATGATAATAACAAATCACCTGATTAACTTTTAAATTATTATTGTAAGGCATTATCCATGACGGGGAGTGGAGCAGGAGACTAAACTGCGAGGAGAAGCAGGGATGGGGAGAGGGTGGGAAAGTCAGAATAAGGAAACATAAATAGCACTCACACACACGCACAAACTTTGGTGTATGGACAAATATCTAAAGATTGGAAGGTGTAGGGGAGGAATTGCATGGAAGCATTCACCACATGCACAGGTAAGAAGAGAATGAAGTCTGTCATTTCCTGGGCATGTCCTCCAGCTCTCAACTATCTAAACATACAATCTTGAACCTTGTGGAAGACTAACATCACAGTGCTGCCTGAGTTTGACCAGACCATAAGGACTAGTGGCCTTTGCTCCTGGCCCTTACTAATGCCATGCACATCATACTTTCAAGGGCACCATTTCTCATATAAATGCTCTACCAACTCCCTGCCCAGGGCTGTCCCTTTGTTTTGACAAATCCAGAACCCTTGTCTTTAGCCAGTTTTGAAACTTATAAAGTTTAGAATGGGTGCTGGGAAGCAGAAAATGCAAAGCAACCAGTTCAGTTTTTAACCTGTACAAATTAGATGGGCTCTGTCAGTCACAGAACCATCACTTGAAGGATTTTAGTATTATTTGCCTCTTTTAGTATTATTCCTTTTTTGAACAATGTTACTGTTGGGGCTCCCCACCCACTGTCCTATGTCTGTCTTCTCACCCTCATGGTCATATCTGAGACTGCTAAATTGCTTTGAAAATCAGAAACTTGATAAAGTTAACTTGAAAACATCTCAGTAAACAGATATATGTGCACACTACATGGCACGTATACATAGGTGTCTGTGCCCAGTGGAAGGGCTCTGATGCACAAACAAGAATCAAGTAGTGTGACTCACAGGATGTTTTTGGCTTGGTTCTGAGAAAGAAAAATCAAAGCCTGCCTTGTGGAGTAGGGTACAGAAGAATGAGGTTTCTTGGGAATCTTGGAGCAGCAGGAGGACATATTACTACTGCCACTGTCATAAGTGACATCCACTAGGCAGAGCAGTGTGGGAAGAGCAAGCTGTCCCTCTTTTGTTCCTCAAATGCGATGTTCAGGTCCAGGGCTGTCAAGCCAGTCCTTCTCACGACACCCAAACTCAGATTAAAAAGTGACTGTAAGCAGCTGGGGATTAAAGTCTGAATACCTCAAAAATGTTCTCAGAACCTGACCAGGTAGCCAGACGGGGTGGCCTAGGTAAGAATAACATCTAGGACTGAAATCTCTGAAGATCCCTTTAGCTCTACAATGAAATATATTCCACAAAGCAGACTGCTCTTCCCTAGTCTCACACACAGACTGTGGCTGGACTACTTTTCATGTACAGTCCCTCTGCACGTCAATATCCGGTTCTTGGCATTTTTCTTCACACAGCAAAGGAACACTTCTTCAGGATCAGTCATGGAAGAGACTTTCTGCACAAAAAAACAGTTGCTTATCTAGCTCATTAAGAAGTCGCTTCCCCACCCCCATCGACCAAACTGAAAATGTAGAAGCATGAATACTCAGCAGATCAGCACATACATTTAACAGAATTTTGTTCTAAATGCTGATCTCCACAAATGGGAAGTTTTCCATATGTCATGAGCTACACTAAAAACAACTCCCAAACTCATTCAGTATCAAAAATGCTAGAAGCATGTTAGAAAATGCAACAGAATTATGTACTAGAAATGAAATCTTATAGAGACAACTGGGCCTTTCTGTCCACAAAAGGTTATCATTCTCAGAAATTCTACCCATCCATTATAGATACTACTTAGTAAATGTTACAGTTTTAACAGTCAATTCTTAGTGATCTGAAATACACATCTGCACTTTTTTATATACGTAAATACATCTCAGCACAGGAAACACATGGACCTGTTAGAATAAGTCCAGAGAAGGGCCAAGAAAATGATGAGGAGGTGAAGCAGCTCTCCTGACAAGACAGGCTGAGAAAATTGGGGCTGTTCTACCTGGAGGAGAACAGGCTCCAGGGAGACCTTGTTGCAGCCTTCCAGTAGTTAATGAGAGCCTATAAGAAAGATGGAGACAGGCTTTTTGCAGGGCGTGTTGCAAGAGGATGAAGGGAGATGGTTTCAAACTGAAGTAGGATCAATTTAGATTAAAGAAAAAAATCATTTACAGTGAGAGTGGTAAGACACTAGAACAGGCTGTTCAGATAGGTGGAAGATGTCCTATCCCTGAAAACAGTCAAGGTCATGTTGGGCAGGACTTTGGGCAGCCTGATGTGGTTGAAGATGTCCCTGCCAATGGCAGAAGGGTTGGACTAGAGACCTTTAAAGGTCCCTTGCAACCTGAACTTTTCTATCATTCTATAAGCATGGGTACATGTTGTACAATGCAGCTGCTATGTGATGGCTTTGCTATAACCTCTTTTCAGAACTGTTCTGCCTTTTAGCACCTAAACCACTCCTAGTCAACGGATGAAACTGAAACTTAGAACCATTAAAACACATTTTCAACAAAATTTTTCCACCTGCTGTCCACTGATCCTTGTGATTCTGAAGACTATTTTAAAGAGCTCATAAAATTTTGAGAAAAGCAAGACACTTAAAAGCTTAAATTATGTAAAAATGAATGGATTTTTATTGAAAAAGATTAGGGATCTGTAAAACAAAAATGGCAAAAATCTTTCAATATTATGAACTTCCAGATGAGACAGTTCATCATTCAGATCTGAGGATGATTAAAAATTTTTACATGTTTCTGCTGCACAGAGCATTGCAAATCCCCTAGTATTTATATACATGCAAAAAGCATACACAAATCTTCAAGGAGCAGAGAAACAATATCTGAGTGCCTTGTATATCATGTAAAGTAACAGGACGTTATTCCTGCATCTAAGAGTGAGACTTTTCCAGCTTCTCTTGGTTTTCTTATATTTCAGTGACAAAATGCATCTTGGAAGCAGAGGAAGAATCCACTTCCCCATGAGACTCACCTGCTCTCTCCTACTCATGGCAGTGTTCTGTGTGACACCTTTCCTCTGCCACAGTCAAATGGATCCACTGGCTCTTGGGCGGGCAGACCCCCAGTGCTGGGAATCCTCCTCTGCTGTTTTACTAGAGATGAGGAAGCCTCGCATTTCTGACTCTGTCAGTGGCTTTTGGGACTTCATGATATTTCTGAAATCCTCAGAGAACCTGAAACATGGAGCTTTGTTCTGGGACCTAGCACAGCTCTTCTGGGATATCTATGTGGACTGTGTGCTCTCCAGAACCCATGGCCTGGGGAGAAGGCAGCTGGCAGAAGCTGAGCAGAAGACAGCTACAATACATTCTCAGTTCACAGGGAAAAATCAAGGTCACTACTCCTTTAATATGCATCTAATTGGCAATAATTAGACTCTAGTGGGAAAGAAAAGATTGAGGCCTATTATGCTATGTGGTAATAATACAGAAACAGAGGACAGTGCTGTGCAAAAACACCCTACACTTCCCTGTGAAGTGTAGAGCTGTGCTTATGTTCAATGTGATCTCAGTAAAATTTGACATCCAAACAACCTGAACTCTAACAGCAGCCTTTAAGTTTCTTATTGATAGGGCAGGAAAAGCAGCAGACAGTGTAATACAGGAGGGTTCAAAAAAAGAAGGCAGCTCAGCAGCTGAATCACAGAATCGCTATGTTGGAAGAGACCTTCAAGACCAAGTCCAACCCAGCCCTAGCACCTCAATTGGGCCATGGTACCAAGTGCCACCTCCAGTCTTTTCTTAGACACATCCAGAGATGGTGACTCCACCATCTCCTCAGGCAAACCACTCCAATGCTTCATCACCCTTTCTGTAAAAAACTTTTTCCTAACATCCAACAATATATACCAATATATTCTTCCACACCAGCATTTTTACCACAGTTTTGCTATGAACAGGCTAGTTCTGAACTCCACATTCTGAGAGGAATGCGTTGCACTGTACTCTTGGGGAGAGTGGCAGCCTTTTGGCAGAAGGCTAAGGGTATGTCAACTTGCCATCTAGCAGTCAGCCACTAGCTAGCTTCCATTTCCATACTGGTAACTTTACCCAACATACCATGGAAACAGACCTAGGACTTAGATGCATGCAGGCTTTCAGACACAACTACAGCTCCAGGAACAACACCACTACCTGTGATACTAAATGCTGCAATTCCTGGTCTCCAGGTTCCCAGACCCCTCCATATACACGTCAATTACCATCCTCATTCTCAAAAGGAGGATAACAGTGTAGCTTTTCCTAAATCTCACTCCCTAGGCTTCAGTTCTGATTCTGCTACCAACAGATATATCCTTGCCTGGAGAATATCCACTTTCAGGTGCTATAATTTGATGGAGAGGTAGAAGTGCTGTTGCCATCACCAGCAGTGTAGAGCATGGGCCCACAGTGAGAAGGCAGAACTGCCTTTACACTACAATGGATTGAGACTTATTTCCACTTCCTTGAGCAGTGTCTTGTTTTTAAGATGACTGGGGGAAAGTTCACAGAATAGTGAAGAGTCCCTCTGAGCAAGTACCCATTAGAGTGTGTCTAAAAAATGGACTTGAACTCAGGACTCTCACACCCCAAGGACAATATATCACTGGACCATCCCACTCTTGCCCACCCAAAACATTTTTGAGTATTGAAAGCTAGAATCTAGGATAGGAAGGACTGAGAAGTCCTTACCCTATTACCTACAGGCGATATCCTGAACTTTGAGGTAGGAGTTGGGTTTAAATCAACCCCCTCAGACTGAAAAACACACACACACAGGGTAAATTTCTAAACTATGATGGTCAAACAACCACTACCCACATTTTAAAAGCAAGGACAGGATCCTATCCTGCTCTGCACAGAATTTGAGTTCTAATGGGATCTTTACTGTGTTGACATGCAGCACAGAACCCACTTCTAGTTTCCAAGTGGTCTTAGGCATCACACAGACAACAAGTCGCTCAATCCTTACCAGACTGACACACTTCTGGGTGCAAACAGAATGCAGCTTTAAACACACAAGGCAGTACTATTGTCTAAAACCGAGATAACCCACCAGGTTAGAGCACCAGATTAACTTTTGTTTGGGATTGCAGCTTTGAATATCACTGTCTAAACTCCCCCTTAGCCTTTTGTTTACTCCTGGCTCTACATATCTATATTACACTGTGATTTTCCTAAACAAAGAGCTTTTGTTCCAGTCAAGATTAAAGAGTCTGATGTATTCTGAAGTATCAAATTAAGGGGTTTATGATAAATTCTGACTACTCTTTACTCTTATACAAAGAGATTTTAAGTACTAAGTAGTCACATCCTCTTTGTTTTTGTGATTTGTAATCAGTTAATCTGGTTTCTCTGTACGACTGATAAGCAACAGTCTGTAGCTGGCACCTTACAGCAGTGACAGCCTAATTTATTTTTTTTTTTTGGAAGAACTATCTAACTTCTCATCCAAGTCCCACAGTTTCTTAACAAAGCCAGTTATTTTAATCTTTGTAACCTGTGATCCTACTGCCTTATTTCACCAGTGAAAGCAGAAATCAGTCGGTAATAGTTGCAGATAGGAATCATATAGCAAATGATGAGGAATAGAATTTCCACTTCTTATGAATAAAGAGAGGTACAAGCATGTTTTCTCAGCCCCACAAGCAGCACTAACAGCACTTAAATTACCTTGCATACTTCACATCTACATGGGTGGGTGTAAACAGCTTTCAGTACGCTTGTTCCAGAAATCCAAACACAGAGCAAATATTTTTTTGCTTTATGCTGTTACTTTTGCAACAGTTGATAAGTTTGCTGCTTCATACTCGAATTTTTAATCTTATTCATCTTAAATTGTTAAAATTTCAATCTGTTTGGGGTTTGTTTTGTTTATTTTAACTACAAACAGGATCATAAAGCAGGAATGAGGAGTAATCTGTAACCTACATTCACTGTAGTTCTTTAAACATATCACTGAATTGGAAATAGCAAGTCAGAAATCTGAATTTGGCACAGAAATACTATTAAGGTATTATTATTAGAATTTAATTTCAGAACTAACAGATAAATCCTACTTGTGAAGATTGAGAATCAGGAACTTTTCTAAGGAGGAAAAAAAAAAAGAAATCCTCCAAGCAAAAAAATCCCCAAACAAAACAACTTCGTCACATCTTAGAGGCACTTCCACAGTTACTCATACTTGGTCCTCCTGGGAAACAATTCTCCCCAAGTGTGCATCAAGAAATGGGAGAAGTAGCCCAGTTCTAGACTTACAGATTCAAACACTGTTCTCTGGACCAGTCAAGCCCCTCCAGGTTTTTGACTGTATTCACATTCTGAAGATACTCAAACTCTACACAATCCATGACAAAGACTACAAAATCAGAACAGCTGAATATGAGTGATCTGACAAACTGTCTCAATCTACCTAAAACCCTGTTTAACCCAGCAGCAATTCAACTTCCCTAGATCTTCTGCAGAGAAGCGTTAATCAACTTTAAGTAGAGACACGCATGGAGAGTTTTTCAGTTACCTGGCCAAGCTATCTTTAGTAACTCATCCCTTTCCCCTAACAAAATCAAAACAGTATGAAAAAGCAGGTTTCATAAATGCATTTCCAATCTATTACAACACTGTACTTACATTACCATTATAATAACTCTTAACCAAAACAAGACTTTAGAACCACAAGGAAAACATAGCTTTTGTACTCACAGCAATCTTTCTGAAGAGCAGCTATATAAGATTCTCCTCAAGAAGCCACACAGCAAATCCTCCCTAGAAACATCTGAAGATTACAAAGACAAACCTTCTGCCTCTTTTCTCCTTGCCCAGAAGTCCCACTGCCCATTACCACTCAGTGGCCTCAGCTGTGCACACCTCCCTCACAGCTGCAGGTGGCTTGGCTCAAGACCAGCTGTTGCACCTGGCCCAGGAGAGACATAATTTGCTGTCCCAGCTCTGCAGGATGCCAGGGTGGGTAGTGGGCCAAAGGTTATTCTACAATTGAGGTCTGGTAAATAAGCAGGTATTATGTTAATCAGTTACTTTTTCAGAAGACAAATATGTTTAAAAGAAAGAAAATCAACCTGATCAACCTGCTGCTTTCTAGAGATTATTGCAAAGAAAATGCCATATAGTTTCTCAAGGAAGTAATAAATGTGCTTCTAGACAGTGTGAGAGATCTCACCCGCTGAGAGGTAGATAACATGCCAGTGAGTTAGTAGGATTCTGAGCAGACTTAAGCACTTTGATTCTGCTAATTACAAGTAGAAGAGTTTTATTGGAAGACTTAAAGAAAAGGTCAACACTGGGAAAAGATCAAAGTGACTTGACACTGAAAGGCGACATGCAAATGGAGGGATATGGCTACCAAAGAAAGAGGCTTGGGGGCAATGCTGATAAGCAGTAGCTAAAGGCAGAGGAAACATTAATGTGGGAGACTGAGTATTCAGCTGCTCTTTGCTGTTTGGAAACTATTTACTTATATGCATTTTCATGTCACTTTTCAGGGACATTTTCTCATATTCAGAGGTCACCAGTTCTGAAGAAGAAAGACTCATTTGAAGATTTAATAAGTATCCACATACATAAGAGTAGATCTATATTACTTGGAAGAACCACTGGAGAGCTAGGAAAAAAGAGGAAATGACACATTTAGTCTAAGCTTTTGATTTGCAGATAATTTTAAACTATTTTTCTTTATGTTTTGCATCTTAATCCCCATTGATGTCAATTTATGTGGTGGAAGAAGGCATGTAACCTCAAGCACTACATCTCTGATTGACTTGGACTTACGGGTTTTCTTAATTACCTATTAATTTAGTCTCCTTACTAAACTGCATGATTTATAAGCAGTTGCCTACTTCAATCTGTGTGTATACCAGGCTTTTTGCAATACATGTGATCTGTTCAAACTATTGTCTTTTGGGTGCTGAAACAGGAAATAACTGATCCTTCAATAAAATATAGACAAGCAGAGAAGGAAGTTGTCAAAAATCTCCCTTGGCTCCAAGACAGGACTACAGAAGAGATGGTGATGTTTGGTTGTATGCAGAGCTCTACACTTGTACAGAGCAACTCCTGCTCAGAAGCCATCCTACTAAAGAAAAATAGTACATACTTCTACATGAAAAATACCTTCCAAGAAAGTTTTCAGTTTTCCAGTAAAAGGGTAACCAGGTTTTACCAGTTCCTCTGCTTTCACACTTAAAATGTTTAATCACAAAAATTGTCATGCATAATTTGCATTTGCTTCTTTTTTAGTTCACAAGTTCTTTGTAGAAAAATCAATCTCTTCTGACTCTTATTGATAACCCTAATAGGCAATTTGATATTAAACTAATGCAAAACAACTTATGGCAGGTAACATATGATTGCTTTTATGATAGAAATTATTTCCATTGCCAGACTGGCAGGATGAAACTATGAATTTCATCTTTACTAGACTATTACATTTAGTTGTTCAATGAAAGTGTCTTTCCTCGAGCATGTAGCAATATTTGGTGGGGTTTCTTTATTTTTCCAAATGCCCACAGAAAAACTGGCTTCCGGGTTGTTCATCAGCTTGCAGAAATAGGTTCAAGTAACAAAAAGTGTAAAGAAATCTTGAAATGGTTACAGGCCTGAACAAAATAAGGCTTAATCACAGTCCCATATAGGGAAATCCTGACTTAAGGAAGCAAACAAAAAACTCTAAGAGCAAACCATTTAAATGTTCAAGAGACGAGAGAACACTAAAGTAGGATAAACACAGGAACACACAGTTTATTGGTCAGCAACAGATTCCCAGTTGCAGCCACAGGGTATGAGAATGCTTTGCTACTACGAGGGAGGGCAGCAGGCGCATTGTTACAACAGATCTGCTCTCTACTGATGTTGTTAATTAATTACATTATTACAATATATCTAAAAGCCTCATTGCAACTTTGTATCAATGTTAGATATTATATATCTTCACTCACAGTCCCTAAGGCTACCACAACCAGCACCTGACAAAGAGTGTTAAGGGCTGGATGCCCCTGGGGTAGAGCAGATGTTACCTGTTCCCGTATGCTCCCAAGCTCTAGAAAATGTGAGATCAGACAGATTATCTGCACAGGTCCTGTTTATTGAGATGTTTTCCACAGGGCTCTTTGGGCAGATACCAGTGCTTCCACTTTATATAGGTCCTACCTGCAACAAAAGGATCCCTCAGGAAACGGCTCATGGCAACTTTCTTCCTTCAGACAGAAATAGCACTATGGGCCAAGATGATATTTAATTGAATAATTTTTAACATTTAAATGAATTTTGCAATACTTCTCTGCTTCAATAAGCTTCTTAATTAATAGGCTGTAGCAAAATTCAGCCTCTGACACAAAGGTCAGGAAAGGATATAGAGGCAAGACTGACAAAACAGATGAATCTCTAGGACAGATCACACTATGGAGAACATTTGGAAACTGCTGATGTAAAGAGACAATCTGTGTTATTAATTGTTCTGAAATAAAAAAGGGGATGCAACTAACTACATATAAACCCACAAGTGACAGAGGGAAAGTGATAAAAGTGTCTATATTAAAAAAAAGCAAGGGGTCTCAGTATGAGATGAAAGTAGACCTGCTATACAGGAACATTTAAAAATGTCATCGTGTTTAAAGACATGATATTGCCTTCTACCACTGTTCCTTATAAACTTCATGGCAGATCTTTGAGTGAGCTAGGATTGCTTTTGCAGATACTGCTCCTGGCTTACTGTTTCTCAGCCGGTGTGTCAGAAGAAGGATGGCATGAACATGTCTGACTGAAGTTCCTTCACTGTCAGCTGAACTGAATAACAACAAAATAAAGACCTTGTGATTTTGTCCCTTTCATCTTACAGGGATCTGTGAGCTAAACAACTGCTTCTTAGCATGGAAAACAATTCTGTAAGTATTTACATACTGACATGAAAGAAGGATTCATGGTAGTCCGGGAATATCTCTTTGTAAGAATTTGTGCTCCAGGTCTGTTCAACACTGCTTCAGACATTTGTCAGTTGCTACTGTTTCCAACTAAGTTTAATTCAGATGAAGTTTAAAGTTTCCAAGTTTAATTCAGAGGGACACACTAGAAGGAGATTTAAAGCCTCATCAGAAGCTGATGATCAACAATTAGGTTCCTTGGATTGTTGTGTGCATCTCTTGGCACTGACATATTGCCAAAGCTACTAAGCTTCTATCTCACAGTATGTTTATGTTATGATATGGGTATATCCACTTTCCAATTACCTCATCACTATTTGTTCTCTGGGGTCCTCCCTCCTCCCTCAATAAGTTTCTTTTCTTTAATTTTCAGCCTCTTTACACTTTGTTTGCTAGAGACAAATCACTTATTAGCTTCCAGTAGCATATGATTATTTCTTGCTGGAAAATTCTTGAGTGTTTGCAGGATGTGTCATTCAGGCCTCCTTTGAGCAAAACTAGCAGAAAGAATGAGGAATGTTCATTAATCTTACTACCACAGTGTAAAGGTCTTTCAAGAAGATGGCTGAAGTACTACCAACAGAAAATAAGATTTCTAGCCTCTTTAATGAATCAGGCAGTCCCTTTATCTTGATGATTATAACTCATTCTGAAAAATACAACACAAGGAAAATCTATATGGAAAATCAATGTGGAGTTCTTTGCTAAGCAGCTTTTCTTAAGCCCTATGCTTTTCATTAGACTTTTCAAATCACATCAACCTAAACACTGTTTGATTATATACGAAACAAAGCTTCAGAATATAAAATTTACCTAACTTTTCTCCCAGAAGTTCCAAAAATATTTTGTTCTCACCTGAATGAAATTGATTTTCTTTGTAATCACAGAAAAAATTCTGTAGAAACTAGGACTGTCTTCTTTCTTGGAAAGCTGGTATCATTTCAGTGACATAACTAAAATCCTTAAAAATATGAAAATTTTCTCAAACCATAACTGATTTTGAGCATAATAACTTACTTTTTTACTATTTTTATACACCTCCCACCAACGAGTGATAGTAAATAACTCACTGTATATTTTTTTCTCTCTGAAGTGGTACTGAATAATTTCAATTTCTCAGGTCTTTAAAGTCATTCTTTAAGGAAAAAAAAGTTCTCATTGTTGCTGGCATCAATGAATACAGCACCATTCCAAGGAAGTAACTTGACCATGGGATATCAACAGCTAAAGAGAGAGAAATGGGCAATCGTTTGCACTGCTGAGGAAGTCACAGCACAGGACCTGGAGATCACCAACAGAAAAGGAATACAGCTCTCCAAAATGCTCCAGGTAAAGTCAGTAAATGCAGAAATCTGTCATGCTGTGTTATTACAGGCAACATCTGAGACACTTTAAACAGAGTTTCTTTTAGAGACATGGCATCAATTACCATAAGTAGTTCACTGAAGTTGTAAGGTGAATGGTAGTTTCCATCATTTACAAGCTGGTGAAACTACTTGGTTGATGAGGTCAGAAAAGGACCTGCAAACATGCTCAGCTGTAGAGAAGAACTCCTGGTGCAAAGCACTTTGCTGGGCTGAAAAGTAAAACAGATTTTAAGTCTTTCCAAGCTTTTGGATGCTGTTAGAGCACTAGAAAACTCTTTATAAATCTGTAAGACCAGCTTTTTCTGTCATATTCCTTATTACATACTCATTATCAAAAGTGAGGCATCCTGAGTGTTGAACAAAGCTCTGCTGTGTAAGACCATTGTTTACAGAGGGGTTTTGTACTGATAGAAGTCTCCTAGGACTAGAGTTATAGTGTCACAGAAGTGGCAAGAGCAAAAACCTCTCATGCCCTCACCAGTTTAAGTTTGGTGTGATTGACTTAATTGACTGCCAAGGGTGATTATGTCTCAGGAGTTTTGATTCATCAATTTCCAAATCAGTCCAACATTAGAGGCTATGTTTGGACTATGCTTTACCTTACAATATAGAATAACACTACAAAGGTTAAAGCAAGATTCTGAGTTTTCTCTGAGGGTTACATAATTATGAACAATATTATGGAGTAAACGGGATGAAGGTAAGGAAACAGTGTCAAGATGACTGGAGAACTTATACCTGGTTGGATTTGGAGAGACAATGTATCCTTCAGTTTGATCATTAGCAGTTCCAATTCCTCTCTGGCTTCCCTCTCATCAGGTGGTATCTGCGTTGCAGTGGGAGTAAGAACTGCACTCCCCATTCCACCAAGAGAGTTTTCTGTCAGTTTAGGCAGATATGTTTGTTTCTCTTTTGCTTTGTTATGCTGTCCGATAAAGGGTTTGTCACTCCGCAGGGACACTGACTCCAGTGGGTCATCTGAGAACATAAATTCCACTGCAGTGGGAACCTCAGGTGTCTGTAAAAGTTGCATTCTATTTACAGAGTTTGGGGGATTCAAACATTTCCATTCTGCACATTTTCTGGAAGTAGGCCTTATTTGGGCAGGATTTAATTCACCCTGCATTCTCCCTTCCAGCAGAACATGTGGATTTCTTGGCATTGTATTATGACACTGTGCAAAAGGATGCTCTGATGACTGCAACATGGTCTACAATAGACAAAACACAGAAAATATGTTGGTAAAATAATTGATATTTCAGTTTGTCAGCAGTACTAAAATAGCATTGCAGAAAATGCTACAAATATGCTGTAGGGGGGAAATATGTAAGCATTTTATTTGAAATAAGGGCCTTTTAAGAATCTCAGAAATAACTGCAATTATAAGAATCAATATAACTGAAAACAAATAAAATATTTTCTATAAGATGATTGTATTACATCCCAGTAAAAGACAGCAACTAGGAACAACATTTTATTTCTTCAATACCAGCACTTTGACTCTTCTCTGAAGAACAGACTGCAATGAAGTATCTAACACTTCTGTTGGAAACACTTATTGGAATATTCATTACTTTCATTGCAGTAGTATTTAAATGTGCTAATGTGGATATCTGTGCTAGATGCCAGATGTACACAGAATGACAAGAAAATCCCTACTGCAAAGACCTTATCTGCTTTCCCTGAAGAGAAGAACCTAAGATGAATGAAAATACAAGTAGAAGGTACACGAAATGGTATTAAGAGTGCTGGTCTACAGGAAAAGCAGTTGTTAGTGTTCAGTAATGGCTCATAACTGTGACAATTCCTGATACATTTATCACTATACCTTTACTTCTTCTTTCATGTGCTGCAGTGTCATTTGCAGGTTTTCATGGCTTACTCTCAGTCTTTGGAGTTTTGCCTCTATTTTGCAGGTTTTTTCTTCCTGGCAGTTATGAAGAAATTGCATTTTGTCCTTCCATTTGTTGAACTGCTTCTTCATGTACCTACCAGAGATACAGGAGGGTGGGATTTTTGCTAGACCAGACATACACAAATATATGCAGTCACAGAAATGAGCAAACACTTCAGCACAAACTTTATCCCCTTTACTTGTTCAGGAAATTTTTGTCAGCTTTGGGATTAGAGGCCAATATTTCAGGAGCTGGACTGTATCCATGGAATTAGCAAGAGCATTAATATTCCAGATGAGGAAATATGAGAGCTGAGTAGAACTGTGGCCAGGATTAAACCTTGCATCTTGGGGTTTTACCTTTCCCACAAAGGTGGCTGTAACAGGAGAGACAATAGCAATCCCTCTGTATAGAAGCAAACTACTTATAGCATCTCCCTGACCTGCAAAAGATTCCCATTACTTGCCTGGGCAACAATAAAGTAAAAGCAGCTTCTACCCCTTTGACAGAGTTTTGTCTTGCTCGTGGTATTCTCTGCAGTTTCTTTAATGAAGCCAATAGCTTCTGCACAGGCCACTGAAAAAGGATTAGAAGTGCCACTGTCCCACGCACATCAGAGATTTAGAAATTACCTATTCAGAGCACAATATGACAGAAACACTACTCATAATTCTATTCTAGTTGTGATTTCTCTAAGAAGTCAGGGTAGAAATAGTTTTGCTTTCCTCACAGCTGAGATGCAGACAGTAATGTTTTGGACACTACATTAATAAACAATTGATTAATATCGCAGATCTGAAATAGTTATCTGCCTTGCTTAGTTATATTCAGAAGTTCACCTGATTCACTTTCTTTTGGTTATGCTTTAGCTTAGAGACAACAGCTCCATCAGTTTCACTTGAATTATGCAAGATCTGTCTAAATGGGGCAGCAAGTCAGACCATTTAAAATTATAATTAATATTACAGTGGTCCCTTATAACAACATTTGAGGGTTCTTCACTATAAAATGCTGTCCTCCTAAAACTAACTCAGAGCCCAGTTCTGTGAACAGGTGAATGTTGGAAGTTGGTCCACAAACAAGAATAAAGAGCTTCCCATGAGTAATATGATTCATTCACCCAGTTCTGTGATAAGCTCTGGGTCAAAGCAGCATTATAGGAGCAGGTGTCCCAAATATCCTCTCAACAATTGCTAATCTAAAAGAAAGCTGAAGATCCTTGCCATATCTCTTTATTTTCCCAAGTGAGAGCAGACTTACAGTGAAATTGCAATTGTTTAACTCTAATCTTGGTGTGCCCTTGTGTGAACTTGGAACAGCAATTGTACTTGGAATGAAAGGGAACAGGGACAGAGGGGACTGAACATACCGAAGGAAATAAAGAGAGCAGATTCAAGATCAAATTCTACACTTCACTGTAATTCCATCACTTTCAGTGGTCATAGGCATGGTTCTACAGAGAGCACATTTATATACAACTACAAAAATGAAGGAGGGGAAGGCAAAAATGCAAGTAAAAGGCAAGCATCCTTGCTCACACACCAACTTCCCCCCTGCCATGTCACCCAAGCAAACAAGCCTCCAACAAGATTTTTAATTTAGGAATTATTTTACAATGTTAAAGATTTGACTATCAGAAGGAACTTCTGTGATAAGCTATAAACTTATAAACTATATAAGCTGTGATATACCAATAGTTATTGTATTCATCCTATTAATCTCTACTTGATGTAGAGCATAATTTTTAGAAAGAAATTCTACTTTGACTTAAAAGCCTCATGCAAATTATGAAATCTGTTTTGATTCATTCAGAGAAAATTTTGAAAAAGTATGATATTCTGGCATTTTTATGTGGAGGAGCATCTTTTTGCCTAAAAATTACTTTTAGAAAAGTAAATTAGCAATTGCAGAAATGCTGATAAAAGCAAACCAAAATGTTTTGCTTTGCCATTGTTTTTCCAGTGATCTTAATCTAAAATTTTTGTTGCAGAGTTTTCATTATTCACACTTGTTTGATAAGAGTTTTTTTAATCTCAAAATCTCCAAAGTATGGAAAAAAATCATCTGTCTTCTAGCCCTCCAGCTGGAGCAGCACTGCCCACCAATCTTCAGGCAGTGTACAACTGCATTTACCTACCTGCTGTCACTGTGAATGCTTTTAATGGACTCACGCATTTTTAACACATCTGCTTCAAAAGAAGCTACTGCCTAAAAAAAAAAGAAGTATCTGTTCATAACTTTATCAGCAATAGCATTTCATTTTTGCATGCAAGTTTTATTCTACAAGTGCATGTCAAATTTTGGATTTGGTCTGTTTAACAGATTTACTAGTTAACCTTTTTAATTTAGTGTATTACAATCAACTAATGCATTGAGGTATTTCTAATGGCTGGGAAAATTATTCTATAGAACAAGTTCTTTGTTCTATGACAAATTTAAGTGAATGAGAATTTGTTTGAAATTAGAACAAAATCCATACTCCTAAGAATTTCTGCAAAATGGAGTATTCTGATTTGGGAACAATCTCTCCCAAGTCCCACAACTGCTTTGAGACAAGGAGATGGAGAAAGAGACTGTATGTAGAAGAGAAAATAGAAACACCTGCTCTCTAGATGGAAGTAGCATTCTCTGGACCATACAGAGAACAGTAGCCCAGAAGTCAGGGAGACAAATACTTTCCAACTAAGCTACCTTTGAGGTATGATGTAAGTTGTGTAGGAATCAGGGCTGCCAGGAAACTATGAGACTAAGAGCTGGATCTCCCAGGACCTCCATATTCATCGATTCTATTAAAAGCAATCATTGGACTTACTGTCTACATCTTTTCAAAATGGAAATAATCTGCACTATAAGATCTTAGAAATCAGTACAAAACTGCTCAAAAGGAATTCTCAGCTCAGAGAGAAAATAAACAAGAGAGCAATGCACCTGAGAGAATCCCAGCACAGGAATGCAAGTCCTATCCTGCTGCTTTATAAAATGACAAATGCCAACAGTCAAAATTTTATGTTTAAGCAATGTCTGCCCACAACTTCTCCTGCAGATATCTGCTGCCTGGCACTATACCTTGATCTGGGAAGCAGAGTTCTAAAAGACAGGTCTTCCAAAGGGCAGCACAGGAGTAGCAGCCAAAGGAATGACCTGACACACAGAGGCTAGCTCTGTGTTACTGCACCCCTTGGCTCCTGGGAAGAACGAGATGAGTGGATGACACTATCCGGTTAGAACACAACCCAGTGTTCCCTGTATTCTGAACCAACATCTCAGAAAACATAGAAACAAAAAATTGTTATGTACTTATTTTTAGCTATTCTATCCTACCCATTCTTTCAGCATTGTTTCTTTGGAGGGAAGCTGGGAATGATTTAATGGAGACCTTTTGTGCATCAGCTATTTTAGTTGGAGTGGTCACTGCTCTGGGTTTATCCTAAGAGGGCCCATTCTGTCCTCTTGCTATTTCCATAGTAACAAAAGTGGCCTGAGTCTAATAGGAATTCAGGCATTCTTCTTTGACATTTGCTTGAACTAGGAAGACATGATGGCCTTTTTTACTGTCAGAATAGCAAGAGGACTCCAGACTCATCTAGACTTTAGTGTGCTACTCTATGACAGTTCAAAAAACCCCGAAGTAAATATTCCTACAAGTGCTTCTGAAGGTCATGGAAGTTGAGGAGCTAGTGACTAATCTTGGGAAATCTTGGGAAGATAACAAATTCAAACCTCACTAAGTTTACAGATGCCACATTTTTCACCATAAGCAAAGAATTAACAGAAAGGTGAAGCTGTCCATTAAATTTTCACTGGAATTAGAAGGCAATAAGATAATTAAATTGCTAGGTCTTCTTCCCAGCTTTAGTACTATTATGGCTTCATGTTTTACTCACCTGAGCTATTGTCTTGCCTTGCTCTGGTGTCTTCTTGTTATTCTCACTCTTCTGCATTACAGTCCTGTTCTCAGGTATGAACCCGGCTGACTCTGGGACACAATTGTTCACTGGGAAAGACACATTTTCAGGACCTGGTAGTGATGAAGCACTGAATTCCACAGGAGGACTGTACACCAACAGGGAAGTAATGAAGAGGGAAAGGATCAGGACTCACATGCTTTTGCTACCCAGGATGACCCAAATGCAGAAAACTAATGCAGTGTAAATAGACAGACTGATGTGCTATTGATTAGGCAAGAAGTAAAGTTTAGCTATGTCTGCTGGCATATTGTGGCTGAAAGAATGAAATTCCTGAAAACAAATTCCACTCTTCCAACAGAATCTCAGCAACAAGCTCTTCTTTCCACCCACTTTATTCTCAGTGCAATTTGCTGCTTCTTTTTTTGCTTCCTTTAGCCAAGAGTTAAATATATTAGGAAATTCAGCTACAAAAAATAGCAAAGTATCCTGCTGTTCAGTCCATCATATGCTAGGAAAAGCCTAGATGTTTATTAGCCCCACAGTGACACCTGTATCAGCAACCCCAGATTCTTCTTTGTCTCATTGCTACCCAAGCAGTAGGTAAACAAACCCCTACAGAATTAAAGAGAAATCTCAATTGTTTCTAGAAAGATTAAAGTACATTCAAAATGATTAAATATTATTTTGTTGCTGAATACAAGAGAGGAAATATTAACAACAAAAGATGTTTTGCATTTCACCACATTTTAAAAAACAAACACTGAAATAATATTCTCCATGAGGATCACTGTAAATATCATCCATTGGTCTTACATAAAATATTGTTTTCTAACTGAAAACCTACCAGAGCAGAACAATCCAGTTTTATAAACAGATTTTCTCCTCCTTCACATAAAGATGAAATTAATTATTTTAGAGAGGACTGACCATTTTTTCCCTATTTCAGCCTCACTGAAGCCTCATTTGGAGAACACATGTGAGATGCAAGACAGTTGCTAGATCTTTATACAAACAGGAAGGAATCTCACCCTTTGTATGTTGCTAGTGGTAATCTCCCTTCAGTTTCTATACTTAAGTATCAATCAGAATCTCATAGCAAGGAAGGAGAAACTACTGAGAAAATTCTCAACATAACCTCCAATGCTCACTATTAGCCACTACGATCAGTGGAAATACAGTAATGACTTTAAATATTAATCAAAGAAAAAGAAACAACTGGTCTGAAATAAGAGGAATGGTGAGATCATCTACTTGCTATTCCAATTCCACAGGCCTGCAATTTAGTGGGACTGGAGCAGAATGCTTGCCAGTGAATGCACTGTGGGTCATATGTGGTAAGAATTCACAGTTAATTTCCAATGGATTTGTCACAGAGGAAATGCTTAAAAACCCATGCAGTTGTAAAGGCAGCAAACATTTGCAATGCTTGATGCTAGACTGAATGTAAGAAACAGAGCAGAGTGAAAGAGACAACATAAGGAAGGAGGGAAGCAAGACACAAGCCTGTCATATTTTATAAGACAACTGATCATTAGGTTGTCAGCATGGTAACCATAGTTAAGCTACAGAACAACATGCAGCAACTTCTCTTTTTAATAAAAAAATCATGACATGGTATCTCTCATAAAAAAATCCCTTGCTCAAAGGACATAATCAAGCAATATTCCACAGCCTGAAATTATAATTATTATAATTCAGAAATTATAAATTCATCTGAAACCAAAACTCACAAAGTCTTTTTGTGAGCAGGGAAGTGCCTCTCCTCCACTGACTCCAGAGCTGTCCTTCTCTGAGCCTCTTTCCTTCTGCAGCGCTCTTGAAACAGGTTGTTCCTGATAGTGCGGAGAAAGTGCTTTGCATTGGCCTTTGCTGACATCTATTGGAATGAGGGATAATAAAGAAGGAAGTGACTTTTCAAACAGATACTGCCCAGAAACAGACATATTCCAAAGCAAAGGGCCACCTGTTCACCATCTGATGAGGCTCATGGCTACTATCTGAGCCCTAGAAGGGAAGCTGAAGTGGGTAATGCTGCAAGACCACAGCCAAGAACAGCTCCAATTCTTTTATGCAAAAGATACTGCCTGGATCAAAGGCAACCTGGAAATGCCTAACGCAGGATTTTGGTAGTTACAGTGATTAAGCTCACAGTCTCAGCAATAATTCTGCTGACTAGTATCTAAGAAGAAATACTTTTATAAAAGTATTAAAAAAAGTATAAAGCATTTGTAGATATAGCCTTCCACGGCTCACATCCTCCTCTCACAGAATACAGTAAAATACACATTCATTTATCATGGGAATGACAGGCTCATGTACAACAACTAAGCCCAGTAGCTGTATTATTGGAGGATACAAACCAGTTCTGCCCCAGGTGACTGCTGTAGAACATGGGGTGAGCCCTGACAGACTGAACAGGAAAACAAAGAAAACACACCACATGCCTCCTAGTGCTTCTTAATGTGGTAGTAACATTACCACGAGGTGTCAGCAGGGCAAGGAAAAACTCTGGTGATATTTCAAACCCCCACTCAGCAGCTCAATCCCTGATAAAGAGTGTAAAAATTTACCTAGATAAGGACAGCATCTGCTAAGAGTGGAAGGTATGGGGATAGCAACTTACTGCTGATTATTTTATGTCCAACAAAACAGATACAAAAATGGTATTTGTCATAGTGAGTAGCTTATCTTTTAAATTTTGGTATAGATTTTGGCCTGCATTGTAATATTTGGCCTATAAAGTAATCTGTACAGGGTTTGTGTTAGAGTAGGGCTTAATAAAGGAAACCGAAGTTCAGTGATTAAATTGCAATTCTGCAGCAACAATGTGGCTGCAATCGAGGTTGCAACATCTGTCTTGCTTTATCTCTCTTGCCCTTCCTTTTGGCGCTTCCACAAACACTCCCATTCACTCTCCATTCACACTAATTTTAATGTCTCTACTTTGAAATCTCTTCATGAGGAGGTCAGTTAACATTTGATTTTCCTACTTTCTCACAGATGGAGTATGAGGAAGAATATTTGGAGGACTGAACTGTTATTTTTAATGCAGATATTGAGCATCCAGATATAATTTCTCACAACGTTAGCAACAGGGTTTTGTTTTCAAGAAGAGAGCAATGAATTGGCAAGAGTATAATGCTAACCCAGACAATGGGTGACTACAAGAGCAGTCTAACAGTCTTTAGTTTTAGTGCAGCCACTGGCTGCCCAGGTATCTCTCACATTAACTGCAGAGGATTGGGAAGGAGACCAGGAGATACAGATTTCTAGGGAAACTTTCTTAAGTGCTTTCCAGCTCATTTACTGGAACAGAAAGATGCTGTGATACAGATCCACAAAAAGCCCATCTGCTGCTGTGTGCTGCTGCTGCTGTGGGCTGCTGCTGCTGTGCGCAAGATCTGGAATCTCCTGCTCAAAGCAGAATCTGGTCTTCCAAACACAAATTCCCAGTGTTGCACTTTGCCATTAATATGATTGATAGCATAAGTTGTAACAGAATCCAGGTATGTGGTCTTACTTGGGCACATGCTGCCTCTTTATGCTGTATCTCTAACTTAGAGAAACAAATGAATCAGAAAGGTTTACAATAACGTGGAAAAACTGGAGACATAAAGAAAAGAGAGAAAAAGAAAGATGTTATGCAGGAGCTTGTATAACTTTAGGATTAATTAATTTCTGGATGAGTCTGCATTGGGATTCAGATGAAGGAATATTGGGACATTGAGGGGACTTTTATAGGTTTATCTGCTAACAAAAAACTTGCAATAAAATTCCTGAAGAAGAAGACTTGCACTGGGATATTTCATAGCCTATTCAGTTACTTCAAAACAAAACACTCATTCTAAAGTTAGAAGCCTGCTTTTGTCCTTTTCCTGTCTCCCTGTTACCAGACTAATAATGCTAATATGTCATGGCTGTTATGGCTAATACACACATAATTTTATAATACATGAAGTTCAAGAATCTACTGCCTACTTGCCTACATGAAGAACCTCAAGAGGGAAATGAACAAGTACAATAGGACTACCTGCACACAGTGTTCCATAACAGGATGTGATCTCTTGTGTGGTTTGCAGAGACGGCCAGTGAAATAGCAGGCTTGGCAAAGGTCAAAATTGAGACACTTTAAACAGCGATACCTGTGAGGGAAAACAAAGGGATTTATTTACCTCCCCACAAGTAAGAACTTGGTGTAAGTAAAAGTGATTACTGGAAACCCAGATCCCTGGGCCTGAAATGCAAAGTAACATCTTTGTTAGAATAATGACTTTCCTCAGCATTCTCTGAATTCAAGTTGTTTTGTCCAAATGATTGTGGACTTTTCTCCTAACCCACCAATGGTTTTGATCTTATTTATTTGCTGCATTCAAATGCAGCCCATAGAAGAAACCATTGTTCTAGCACCATTTCCCGTTTTTCAGAATGAAGTTACAAGTTCTTATGCTTCTTATGCACCAGCTTACCTCTATTTGCTGCTCCAATGGAACTATAATATTGATAGGATAGAATTCATAAACAAAAACCTAAAAATGCAAGAAACTAAACCTTACTAATGCAAACTTACTATTAGTGAGAATATAGTAACAGTAAAATGCTTTTCTGAGCATTCTGGTCAGAAGGTAATGGATAGTGTCCTTTTTATACCACTATGCCATTTTATACCATTACTTAGATGACACGATGCTAAGACAGAAAACTTAACCAGCTAGTTAATACAATTCGTTACAAAAAATTTACTAAAAAATGAGATACACAGGTTTAATTTGCTTTACCTTTGGACTGCCAATTTACCTTTGGCAAGATTTCATAGTCATGTCTGTGCTAGTGAGCTAAAGAGAAGTAGCATGAAGGCTTGAACATTAGACTGCACTTGTTCTCTCTGTCCCTCTTTTCTGGTTAAATTAGATTATGTCCCAAGTTTGTTACTTAGTACTTCAGTTACAGCCTATAAGGTATGTAAACAATGGTAAGAACTAATTATGTGGATGCCAAAGACCACTGACACACCTGATGCCTGTAATGGGGAAAACATTACAGACTCTGCATTTAGCTTGGTGAGAAACCATTTCTGTGGCTGATAATCTGTAACATGTAGGGAGCCACAGGAGAACAGCAGGCTCTGATCTCAGCCAAGACAGGAATTTTTCTTCAACAACAGCAGCATTCAAAACCTAGAAAAAATACATGTCTCAAGATCATACATTGAAAAAAACTGGTGTTTCATCTATAATCTCTAATAAAAGCTCTGATATTGGATTTTGCTGGCATAAATTTTCTATTCATGTGAAATATTACTGGGTTCCAAAGGTTTTGAAATAAATGCAAGAGTCCTCAGTACTATCTTACTGAGATTTTTTTCTGTAGATACAAATCCTCCCATACTGTGAGACTGATGATCAGCCCTGCGTCTTACAAGTAGATAGTTGGGGATGTTATGTGGTGATACACTTGAAGTTTTAATCAATCAACAACATTCAGAATAATTTCCCAGGACATCAGAATTTCACTCACCCCATGGAAACAGTCATGAATCGCAATTTCCACACAAGACAGAGTGCAGCCTTCTCCCACAATGGCTGGGATCTACATCAAGAAGAAAGGCTCAGAATCACCTCAATAAAAAACAGATGTTCCCATCATGCTCTGCTGTGATAGTGACAGCACACAGATGGTGAAGTATCTATAGCAATGTCATTTCACACACTGTTCTGAAGAAAACCCATTCACATTCATACCATCAGTACGCAGTTTCACAGTTCAGGGTGTGTCAGAATGATTTGTTTCCAACTCACTTACTGTAATGTATAAACATACTATGTTTCCACACTGTAATACTGAAGGACACTGAGTTTGAATCTCAGAGGTCATTTTCAGATCCCATTTTCAGCACCAGTTTAGCTGGAAATACCTGTATGTTAAGGCAACTTGCTGCAACTACAAGCTATTCTAGTGAGTACAGATATCTGAATTTTGGAGTTGCTTTAGGAACAGTTGTATCCAGCTGTTTCCAGGACCTGTAAGCTCAGGCAACATGAATGCAAAGAGGCAATCTCTAATGCAAGTGGTTATTTTGAGAAAAGGAACAGAATTTGATTCTTTTACCTACTTTGCATGATAGCTCCCTATATCCACAGTGTCTTATTAACTTTGGTCCCTGATAAGATAATCAAATGTAAAATGTATCAATCATGAGGGGTTTTTTTTCTCCTAGGTTAGTACACTCCTACAAAATCTGTTATGTAACAGCACTGCAGCAACAATACCTGATTTAAGTCTGTTAGCAGGCTTCTCAGGGCACTGCGGGTAATCAAGGTCTCCTTCCCATCAGGGACAGCATAAAACTGGAAGAAAGCTGAAAACAAGGAAAAAAAACCGCTGGAATCCTGGCAGAGCAACAACTCTCTTCAAGCTATCTTCAAACTGCTATCATAATTGCAGTCTAACAAATAAACCCTTCAAGAAAGTTGCACTTTATTATGTACCTAACAGGCTATCAGTGACTGCTGTGACCATACTTCTCCCTATAGTGAGGGAAAGAAAATAAAAGCAAGGAAGAAAGCAACAAACTCATTCTTACAACATTAGGAAATATATTTAAATATGTTTATACAAGAAGTGCTCTATTTAAATTGTGAATTGCTAATTAAAACCATGGGGTTTCTGTTCTTTTCTGCTAGGCAAATAGAAGCTCTACTTAAACTTTACTATGACCTCTTCAGAGGCTCTTTATTGCAAAGATGGCTACAGATATTGATTGAAAAGCATTATTCTGCATCAACCTTTCTCTATAACTAAGCAGTCAACATGATCTACTTTATTCATGGCAGAGCTGAATTTTCTGTTAAAATAAAAAATGACAATGGAAATTTTCTTCAGTGTTCAGTATTTCAGGCAGTGTATAAAATCATACATTTCCCACCTCTGTATTTAGCCAGTAGAGTGTCTCCTGAAAGGGAAATTAAGGCAGCTGCAGCAGATCTAGTTTTGATATACCCTGTTCCAGACCTAGGAAAATGAAATAAGTTACTCTACATTCACTGAGAATAAAAAGACTGAAACTTCTAAAGAATAGAATACTACTATGTAGGAAGAAAACTTCAAAACAAGTATCCTTTATATATATATTTATATATTTATATTTTTATATATATATATATACATATATTTATATATAAATATATATTTATATATAAATGTATCCAAAGTAACATTTGAGTGATATTTTATGCCTAGAACCCTTTATCACTGAACATAACTTCCGAGTTAACTGTTCCAAGATACCATGCAATCGTAAGACAAAAAGACAATATCTCCTTCAAAGACTTCACTTTCCAAATAAAATATAATTTTACATTTACAGTGTATGTTCTACTTTTTTGTTTGTTTGTTTTTGGACAGCCTTCCCAAATACAGTAGTGAATTAAGGATACAATCTGAGTTTTACATATCTTATCAGGCAGCTCCACTATGGCCCTAGTAGTCTGCACTGAGCTTCTCTTGGGCTGATTACACTTAATTTCACTGAAACTCAGTTTAATCAAAAGGATATATAGAGGAGCAGGACATTTAGTTTTGGCCATTGTATAATGAATAATGTAGATTTAGAACCCAATTTTGTGACATAGGCACCAAATGAAAAACACTATTTTTTTTTGTGAAGCTAATGCAGATATTAATCAGAAACCACAAATCAGGAAATCCTGGAAATCTATATTTAAGATATTACTTTTGTAAAGCTTAAAAATATTGTTACATAAAACTGTTTTCAAGAGTCTTAGATAAACCCACATTGTGTAAAGCTGCAATATAGTCTCTAAAGTATGAACTGCATGGAAAAATGTTGTTTTTCCAGAAATTTCAAAGGAAAAACTCCAAGACTAAACCTAAAGCACATAATCAAATTCCCTTAAGATATTTATGCAAGCTTATTAAGTAAACTACCACACAAACATGGAAAATTCCTGTGTGCTCCTCCTGTGAAATACTTTCCAGTGTTTATAGTGGAGAACAGCACACTACAGAGAAAACATGATTAGAAAATTATAAGAAGCTTTTTCTATCTTATATACACTTCAAGAAATTTGTGAAATTATTTTTAAAAAAAGAAATAGCAGCAAAAAGAAAATGACAGTCCTAAGAAAACAGACTAAAAGACCAAGATAGACCTGTTAAGAAGATTCTTCTAAATAATTTTCCTACAGTGCACACAAATTACAAAATTACGCTTGATGTTTCTAGCTTTGTCTCTTAATACACTGTTTATTCTTAGCCTTAATTGATTATTTTATTAAAAGAATTGATAAAACGGGACCTTAAGCAGTAGTGATCATATGAGTAACGAATAATACTTCAAGAAAAATCCTGCAGAACACTTATATCTCATTTACTTTCAGTAAAAAACTTTGCTGATGTAGATGGGAAAAATTTCACCTGTGGTAAATAACTTGTACAATGAACTTTGTCTTTTAAATCTGATAGAATCACAAATCAATCCTGCCTTTAGTGAATTAACTCATTATTCACAAATAATACATAAGAAAAATACACTCTGAGAGCTGTTTCCTTATTTTTTTCAGAAACTTTGCTATTCACTAATCTGCTCATCTTAGTTATGAGACATCAATTTTGTTTCATAATTGGTAGATTAACTTTTTAAGGCTGAGAAAAATGAATAATGAAAAGTGACTGGCAAATTCCTGACCTGTGCATGGGTACTGTTCTCCAGATGCAAATCTGGATTCTTTTTTAGGAGTATACCAAATTATCTTGGAAGTCAGAAGAAGAACTACTCTGTAAAGGTTTTCAGAGAAAAAGTCAGCATGAACTGGCAAAAGTCTGGATTTCTAGGTAGTTTTGGGAACATTTGACTACTGTTTTTCTGATGCAGTTTTGTGACTCATATTTCTACAGCTGAACTACCCCTAGTTTTCATACAAAGCAAAACCGATCAAAATGTGAGTGTTTCACACAGAAATTGTGTGAGAGTGGTAGAAACAGACTTAATCTAGCAATACTTGGGGTTGGAGCAATATGATCTTTAAGGTCCCATCCAAAAAAACCTTCTTTGCTTCTATGGTACTTCAATGGATCTACATTTATTCTTCTTCTCACCTGTCATACATGGCAACCAGCAAGCTAAATGTGAATTCAGCAGCTCTTGGATCTACCTGGCCTGGTTTTTCTAATCTTGTCCTTTGGAACAGTTTCATCAGCATTCTAGAGATTTGCTGCATGTTCAGAGAAATCCTCTCTTCCTTCTGGCTTTGTTCACTTGATAGGATGTGCTGAATCATAGAAACATCAATCAAATCCACTGTGGGAAAATTAAGGAAGAAATGAATGAGGGTCCATGCCTTTTCATGAATAGAAGCATGACTATTTTTTTATCAGAAATGCCTTGCTAAAACAAGTCTGTAAAATGAAGCCTAAAACAGTACACCATATACAAAGAAAACCAGTACCAGTATGAATTGGTACTTCCACATTGACACAGAGCATCAAGCAGATAAACCATATTAGGGCTGAGACCAGACTAAAAATATTCATAAGAGAGCATCCCCAAATGAAAGAAATATACCCAAGGCAAACAAACTAGTCAGCTTCTCTGTGATACCCTGAAGACCTCACTTGCAATACTGTGCATTTTCAGCAACACACAGTTTCAAATGGAAAATTCAGGATTTCCATGAAATTTAGCTCAATATGGAATTTACGTTCAGTAATTTCAAAGTGAGCTAGGTGACCGGGACTTTGTTGCACAACTCCGCTTGCACTGAATTCTCCCTCACTTCAAAGACAGGGAGAATGGATACTAGCCAGGAGTTTTCTGGTCTATCATATTCTATTTTGCTTTCATTAATTCTTATAGTCCAGTCAATGCATTTTCAATAAGCCATGGTTATTTCCAATAAATCAGCTCCTAAGAAACACATTAGAATTTGACTTTTCATAACTGTAATAATACACAGATAAAGGTTAATAATTGTCCTTGATGTCTACATAGCAGGGTTGCAGCTTGTAAAAATAATTTTATTCTCTCATAATTTTAGAATTTCACTAATGTATTTCCATTGACATTCAAAAGGAAAAAAAAATCAATTTATATATGAAGCACTACCTAGATCTTAAGTGTTCATAATCCGTTCTAAAACTCTCAGGTGGAAAAGGAGAGAGCAAAGTAGCATAATAACTCATGGTGACCACAATACAAATTTTATACAGATTCTCCTCCCTGTAAACACACAAGATTGTCTTTGACTACTAACACTGGCAAAGACTTTGTACTGAGCGTAGTTTTAGGGCTGTTCTGTATATGGAGCTCTGAACACCATTGAAGGCCTCTGTGAAAGAAAACAAACACACATTAAAATAGAGTGGTTCATTCAAAACTAACTAAAACTCAAAACAACCAAATTTGGAGTTTCAAGTTGACCAGCACTCTGAAGGAATATTTGGAGGAAAAAAAAGAAAACAAAAATAAAGCATTTTCTTTTTTTTTCAAATAACTTTGTGGGGTGAACAGTCTTCTTGTAAACAGTGAGTAAACAGATTTTAACATACAGGTCATATCAGCTTCTTTGAGAATCAAGTTTATTCATAGATCAGAACAAGGCCTGTGAGGGTTATGCACTGCACTTACTTTTAACCAAGATCATAATGAAATACTATTTCTTCAGGCAAATAGGTTTTTTGATCAGAGATGCTCTTCTGCAAGGAAGTTTGTCAGTTGCACAGCAGGGTTATGGTTTTGGATGCATATTGTTTCAAGCACTAAGCAAATCTTCTGTCAAGATCAAGATGTGGGATTCTTGCAGAAGAAGAAAAGACATTTACTAGAGTAAATTACTTTTGACATCTCTGTTTAGAAAACCCACTCAATATGCTTTACCAAATCACATACCCTTATATGATTTCAGCTTATTTCTTTAACATCACTAAAGGTTGTTTTTCTGAGTGGAAAATAAGACATGCTGACCATGACCTATGCCTGATACTTTGCACACATAACTTGAACTTCAAGACAAAAAAACAAGGCTTGTTCACTAAACTTCAGAAACTAGAAAGGGATTTATCTGTTATCCTTCTGTCCTCAGAGACCCTTTCTCCCTGTACTTCAGAGAGGAAGAATTACACACAGTTGGTTAAGGTTATAGATAAGCAATAAATACATATAAATGAAAATACTTCACCTGTTCAGTCTGGAAAGGAGCCAATCTGTGTGCAATAGTTTCCAAGGAATGCACCAGATTAATATTAATAGTCAGCAAATTATGGGCTCTGCTGGTTCCCAGATGCTGTCTAAGCTATAGAAAGATGCCAATATACCATCTGTTTAGTCCTGCTCTTGTCATACTATGTTTGTCATACAACGTGAAAAATGAGTTTTGACTCCCACGCATCATCAGTTCTCTTTCCTCAATAAACTGATCCAAAGCCCTTTTGAAAGCAACAGAACAACTTCCACAGTTTTCAGTAGGCTATGGATTAAGTTCCAAATGCTTATTTTCAAATACAAATGCTAGAAATATACATATGATTCAACTCAAATACCTTCCATCCACAAGATGATTTTCGAAGTGAAGGGAATCTGTTTTAGTAACCATCTGCTACTTAATTCAAGTCCACCCTTACAGACAAAATGTAGCCCCAAAGTGGGGCATTCTGTGCCTGTCAAGCACAGTTCCAGAATTAACTTGTGAGGACACATAAGTAAAATAGTAAAGCATTTTAAAATTATTATTGATGAGAGGCTATTTAGGGACATTATAATCCTTCATTTCTCACAGGAAGGGAGATTTCCCTCTGGACAGAAAATCAGGATGTAATCATTCTGCTGTGGGTCAAATTTCACCTCAAGAAGTATAAATGCCCTTTGTTGAGTAGCAGACAAAGGAGTTCCTAAACACACAGAAGTCTGGTGATTCCTGACATCTTCAGCTGGTTACCTGCTATTCTGAATTTTGAGCTATTTACTCTGTGGCAGATGAGGTACCTGCTGAGATTTTGCATTGAAAAAGGGATCGTATGGCCATCCTTCATTCCTATTCCAAAGTATGGAAAAAAAACTTAGCATTTAGTATAAATTAGGGATCATGGGCCTGTGTGCCTGACCATTCCATAAACCGATGTGATAATGGCAAGGAAGGTGTCAGGACAGATCTAACAATAAAAGTAGGACATTACAGCTGTGTAATCTGTCATTTAAGTGCTACAGCACAGAGATTCTCAAGGTGGCATGATTTCATTAAAATTCAGTAGTTTCTGTTCAAAAAGACACAGAAATTCCTTTTGAGAAAAGTTGGGAAAAAATAAGAAAAATCCTTACCCCTCAAGTCTGGATCCATTTGAAATTAACAGATGGCATTAGGCATTCTATAACAAAACAAACCAAAGTGTAAAACCACATATTCTAGGCAGAGACATATCGAGCCATTCAAATTAAATCTTTTAATCTGAACAATTCACTGGATGCATTTCAGAAATTAAATTAAACAGATTTACATTAAACAAAATCATTTTGGTGCCATGTGCAGAGAAATTCCAGCAAATTGCAAGCTCTCTGCTTAGCATAAAATAGGAGTAATTCAAGTAACAGTAAAATTGTAGCAGGGCAAAACCAATCCTCAAAACTGTTTTAAGTACAGGAGCTGACATCTTTCACTATTGAGAGCCCAAATTTTACATGCAGGGTTACTACACAGTTCATAGTGTACAATTTCAGGTCACAGAGGGCATATCTACACCAGACTCTTTCCAAGATTCATTGATTGCAATTACTCAAAAGTATTTTCTGAAATTTTCAAGCAGAATTAAAGTTTTAGGTTGAGCTGGCATTATTTCTTTCTGAGCTGATACAGAAGGGGAAAAGGAAGCTTAACCATGAATATACTTATTTAAACAACTGTGAAAGCGGAAGTAGTTATATCCCTGTAACAATGGAAACTGAATGTCTCCCCTCAGGATTTATTTCACTAATGCTCTAAAGTACATCATATTTCCAATCACAGATATATAAACATTAATTAGCTGCAGCAACTACCTTTCAGTTAACACTGCAGTTTCAAAGCACTAGGCATAATGGATCTAAGTCACACAAGATTCCAAAGGCCATCTATGTGGCTTATTGTGCAGAACAAAGGGAAGGTTTGCTCAAATAAATAAAAATTAGGTAGCTGGAAATTATCCAAAACTTAAGCAAAAAAAATGTTGTTAAATCTGAACTTAAACATATGTTCATTCCTTACATTTGATGTAATCATTGATGATTTGTCATAAACATGACAGAATACTGGCCAATTATGAAGCGTAAGTATTCAATGATATAAAATTACTGAGTCTACCATAAATATGCTTCTCACCATTTTAATTGGTGAAAGCTGCAACTTTGTGTTTCTGTCCCTAAATTTCAGTCATAACCTAAATTTAGATACTTAAAATACTGAGATACAGATCTGCTTTAATAGTCTTTTGCATTCAAGACTATAATGCCACAATTTTTACTGTAGTCCTTCTTTGAAAGAAATACCACTATGCTTCTTTTCCACTCTTCTATTTTCTTTCTTACTAAGGCTTCTGCAGAACTACAGCTCTGACCAGCATTTATACAGGCACATAAGTTTGCCTATAGATATATATTCATATGCAATATATATGAAAATCTGATACAGCTGTTCCTAAAATAGCTGCAGTAGTAAGAGCCTCTGCCATAGTTTGACAGAAAAGTTCATGTACAGAAATCAATGAAATCAGAAGACACAGAGTAATGAATTAAACATAGGTGTTGGTGAAAGCTACATGTAGCAATCTAGAAGGTAGACTTAGACACACACAGCTTGCCTTCTTTATTTTCTCTGTACCAGAGGTACATAAAATAAAGAAACTGGATGGGATGAATATAAAAATATCCAGATTAAACTCACTTAAATTAGAAGTCATTAGAAGTTGCTCACTCAAATAAGAACAGATCTACTGACTTACTGAGTTACACAGCATGCATAATCTATGAGTGCTTGATACTTACTGTAAGATGACCAGATCTCTATCCAGTACAGCACAAGGTCTAACATTTAAATTACCCACATGGAAAACCACTCTATAGTCTTGTCCTAGGTTATTCATGGTCTCAAGTTAACCATATATTTATGTGTTTTACCAAACTGGCCATCATTGTACAGCATCATATCTTTGAATCCTCCCTCCAAAAAGTTATGGAAGATATTATTAATGTATGTACAGTCTACATTTTCATATACAAAACTCTGTGGACAGTCCAGATCTCTACTGCTGTAGGAGTGTCTGGGTGAAATGAAGAGAATCTACTTTAGTATTAGCACATGAATACAATATGAAAGCAGAAGCAGTATCTGCTGCCCACGAAATCTGAAGTAACTTTGCCCATTGACACACTATTTCAGCTAATTTGTTATATTTCAGTTACTTGTGTGCTTTAATAGTGAAAATCACTTTAAAAAAACAAACAAAAAATAAAAATTATGTACAAATGTTCAGGAAATAAATTGTTACAGTTAACAATCCTGGTCCCATTACCATGAATACTCTTATGTGCACAACAAAGAGAGCCTTTTTCTTGACTCTTAGTGGAATGTGAAAGAAAATTACTTATATGTACTTTGCCTTACAGGTTCTCAGAATATGTACTTTAGCAAATAAAATGTATTTTGAAGCATGCTACATAATTAAATTAAAGTACAGAGAAAGACAAGCCACATGAAGTAAGGCAGAAACCTCCCAGCAGATCAATTGACTTGATCAGAGACTTTTCTTCTTTTGAAATCAGACAACATGTGATCAACATCTTAAATATGCACAAAAGAACCTACAATTACTTTTGTTTCCTGTGAAGGGTGAAAACATCCTATGTTTTGTTCAAAGGCCAAAATTATTGTCTCCCCTTAAATACAGTAGCTGTGCTTACCTTCCTCTCATTACTTACTAAAGGTCCAGAAGTCAGATGACATCGCCAGAGAAGTCCAGTAGTTTTACAGCACTTAAAAGTTGACTTCAAGACACAGTTCTAAAGGTTTTGCTTTTAAATTAAAGCTGCTCACAACAAATGCCTAGCAAAGGCCCAGATCAAAGTATCAGGTAATTGTCTAAGCAGTCAAAACACAGAACACTAATTAATTAGTAATAAATATCCTGAATAATTAAAGATAAAACTTCTTTGATCTTTGTTTCAAAGTGCCTTTTTTTTTTATGGTTGGAGTGCAATATTTCTAAATTGAGAGGCCTTTACTAAGCATCTCCTGGTTGCTGAGAAACTGTTGCTATAGAGATTGAAAATGAGGTAGAAGCTGACATAGTAATGTATAAAGCACAATGTGCTGTAACAAAGAGTTGGGGCAGCTATACAAAGAAGAAAAATAGTAAGCCCTAGTGGTAAAGTCCAAGAGCAAGAATTGCTCAGACCAACCACAAAGCTCTTCAGTACACCCAAATGCTAAGGTTTATGAGCAATCTACACATAACATTTGTAAGACACATACAACTTAAAGCCCTTTTTCATAAATTTTTCAACAGTTACCATAACACCCAGATAGCAGGAGTCCTCAATATCATGAATATCCTGCATACACAGCATGACTTAGAGACTTGTGAAAAAACATGTCCCAGAAATTGCTTATTACTTATAGAAAACCCAAACTTACTGATGACTAAATCAATTGCTGTTTTACCACTGTAACCAGTTTTGAATATGTTACCACATTTTAGCTTTCCTATTTTTTTTTCTTTTTCTCCTAAACAAAAGCTAAGGAAAAAAGCTTTTCCATTCACTTTTGCTTCAATGAGGAAAGACCTGAATTTCCATGCAGACCACTAGACAAATCCAGTTAGAATAATTTAGGATACACGAGACATCCCAAGCAGCTTTTTCTTTCTGCTCCCAGCCTCTGAGAAGAGAGGTTTTCAGTTGGTGATTCAGAAGTCAGATAAGCCTACTTATATATTGCAGGAAGAGTTATTTTCCCTCTCATTAACAGCTGTGCAGTGTTGGTGCTTGAACTGCAGTTTGAACTATCTCGACAGGCAGAATAAAAAAATTCAAAGAGTAAGATTGCTAAAGCCTATTCATAGAGAAAAAGCCCAAATGTAAATACACATTAGAGAAGCTAACTTTTCTATCTTGGAGAAGGAATTATAGAAAAATCAGGTAGTTTTATAGAGACTACTAGTAGAATCCCTCCCTGCTATTTTCTCCTGTGACATCTGCCTCCAGATGCTCCTCAGAAACTCAGCCAAACTCCTGTGCATACACTACTGGAAACTAATTCCCTGGAGATCATTTATCCATTAAATGAATGGTTCCTAACCCCTGTCTTCAAGACTTTTTACAACACCTACCTCTACAATTTCCATGTGAACTCTAATGAAGATACTTAGAATAACATCTCAGTCCCTCTAAATCTTGCTTCTCCCATATACACTTTACACAGAACTCCACATTCTCCCAGATCGCTTGTGATACCCCAGGTTTCTGAGCTCCTCTTCCAAAGACCAATGAGACATCCCTCCTAGTCCTGTCCTACTCAGCCAGTAACTTCTCTTGGTTTCCTCATATAAGAGGTCTTCCCTTATTCAGAGCTTGAAACTCTATTTGAACAGAAATAATTAATTCATTGCAGCTGTATGTAACTGATTCAAAGAACAGGAAGCTTTCTATTTTGTTTTAAACATATATGATAAAAAATTAGCAAGTACAGTAACGTTTCATTAACAGTCTCCATCATTTAAGACACCAAAGATGCAAGTAAAAGTGGATCCACAACAGTTCTGTTTAAACAAGAATTTAATTATTTTGACTTAAAACACACAAGTATTCTCTTGAAACTCATGAAATAAGTAAGAAAAACATGGAAATAAAGATGAACTTGTCACTTTGGAGATGTATAAACATATTTCTATGTTAAAAACAATTTTGCCCAAGAAGATACTTTATTACAAAAAGTACTGTGTTTCAGTACCTCTGAAAAAAAAATTCTGGACTTATAGAACTTCTACTCTGTATGTGACAGTCCTGCTCAAGATTTTCATATGAACATTTTAGGCATTAAACTATATTTTAACAATAGTTTATTGGTCTGAAGAAATAAGTGGTTGGATGCAAATGAAATCCTAGACTCATTAAAATCAGTAGGAACTTTACTTTGGTCTACGGGTTAAAAATGTTACATTCACACTGGATTTGAAATATTTTTCCACCTAGAGATTTCCCGGGGTTTTTAATGAGGAAAATACTGCAAAAGCTACAGCAATGTTTAGGCTTCCTTTTTAGTTTGCTCTTTTGCACAATGGAAACAATATTTTAATAAGGGAACTTCCAGAA